TTTGCATCCCCCTAAACCCCAAAACTCTCCCCATGCCTGCACAAAACCACGCTCGCGGAACATGTCCACCTCATAGTCCACCCAACCGCCCTCAGGGCCGACCTTTGTCTACGGTTTAGGGTGTAGTTTAGGGTTTAGGGTTTTGGGTTTAGGGTTTAGGCTTTAGGGGTTAGGGTTTGGAGTTTGGGGTTTAGGGCTTAGGGTTCTACCCCAAGGCTCCTAGGTAGCGCCCAGAGAGCCCATACTGTGCCAATACTGCTTGATTAAGGACTATAACTTCAGGTATAAAGGGATCCTTTTTATGATTTCAGGAATATTCGTTAGTGAAGGGGTTGGGCTCTCTGGGTACCGAGAGGCTCCTGTGTAGTACCTTTTTAGGGTAGCACACTTTAATCCCTAATAACTAACCCGAAAAGGAACCACATTAGGGCCTTGAAGAACAAACAGGGTGGCCTTCTCGTGCTTTTTTTCAAGACCCACCCCGAGTTCCTTTGCGCTTGCTGTTGATATCTGAACGATTGTGGTTGTATTAAGTGTGGTACATATGACTTCCATTGCAATGTCATGATGATTCTTAAGCATAATCGTTCTCATGATGACAGAAGTCACCTTCGAGAGCCGCGCTTGAGGTGCTCTTGTACAATCTTCGAGGGCCGCCGTCAAGAAGAACACTGCTTGTAGGCTCCAGGGATGTTTAGCGGTATCTCATGACGGCGCTTGCAAGAGGGCTTGCCTGTTAGCATGAGATAAATGACAGCTTCTGGCTGACCTTGCTGTACACCCTCGATCCTTCCGCAAGAATCAGGCAAGGTTCTATCTGCGCGGGGGTAGATGAGAGAACCCTTTCTTCAAACTGGACTCCCTCAGGTGCCAGCCCTGCTTTTTTAACCCCTAATTGGCACCAAAGGGTCTCATGGCTGCAGCCCGAGTGTCTGCCAGGAGCACGGCCTGGGGCGGCGCTCCACGCGCCTGCGCCTCGAGCAGGGCCTCGCGGATGGGAACCTGGGAGGGTTTTTGGTCCAAGGTTGAGGGTTTTGGGGGGTGGGGGGGGTTGACACTTGGAGGTTGGCCTTCATCCAAGCCCCTAATACTCAACCTCACCACTCAGTTTTCTAAGCCTGAAGTTTGCCAGACCCCGGAACCGTTTGCCAGACCCCGGAAGCCCCCAGCCCAGTGCTCGAACTGTTTGTCAGGTTTAGGGTGAACTCAGAGAGTTCACAAATACCCACGACCTTAGATTATGTAGTTACAGGGGTTCTTAATTTGATTTAGGGCAAATTCCTCAATTCAGGGGTATAGAGGGCTCTTGGGAGAGGGTTTACCACGGCAAACCCTGAACCTCCAATCCTAAGCCAAAGCACGTCACTAATCCTTGCCTGGACCCCCCGGAGTATGTAAAACAAATTGCCCGATACCCATTAAAAAGAGGACCGTTGCTTTACATACTTTGGTGGTTTGAGTGGGGTTAACCAGTGCAACCCGAACACTCAACTTGCCAAGCGCCCGACCCTAAACCCTAAACCCTAAACCCTAAACCCTAAACCCTAAACCCTAAACCCTAAACCCTAAACCCTAAACCCTAAACCATCCCGCCGAAACACTCCAGCATCGCCCGGATGGCAGAGCAGCCGCAGGAAGTTAGGTGTCGGGAAGAGGGCATCCAGGGAATCCTCCACGAAAGGCTTTAGTCGCAGCCTCCGCGCGGTTTAGGGTTTAGGGTTTTGGGTTCGGGTTTATTGGCTCACCCCAAAGACCCCTCTATACCCCTCAATGTAGGAACATGCCTTAAATCATATTCAGAATCCCTACAGAACTTGTTCAGGGATGGCAGGTCACGGCCGTTGCAAAGAAGAATGTGGGAATTGCAAACATGTCTCATGGGACCTCAAACCCTAAACCCTAAACCCTAAACCCTAAACCCTAAACCCTAAACCCTAAACCCTAGACCCTAGACCCTTGACCCTTGACCCTTGAGCCGTGGCGTGCAAAAGAGGCCCCAAACAACCTAAGCCATAAAATCAATCTAAGCCCTAAACCCTAGATCCTATGCCCTAAACCCTAAGCCCCTCTTAAAGGAACGGACCTTTAATTATCGAGGGAGCCTCAGCACGACTGAGGACATCTTCCGTATTTGTTTAAGGGGTACAGGGCTGGTACCCTAAACCCTAAACCCTAAACCCTAAACCCTAAACCCTGAACCCTGAACCACCCTATAAACCCCATAAACCCTGAACTTCGACCAGGAGCTCAACCTGCACCTCTGGCAAGGTGGTGCACACCGCCTGCTCCAGACCTTCCAACCTTGAATTGTGGGGGGGCTTTAGGGGGGTTAGGGCTTAGGGGTTTAGGGATTTAGTAGGGGTTTAGGGGCTTTGGGGGTTTTAGGGCTTAGGGTTTAGGGTTTTAGGGTTGTAGGAGTTTTAGGGTTTAGAGTTTGGGGTTTCTGGTTTGGGGGCTTAGCGGTTTTTTGGGGTTTCGGGTTTGGGGGGGTGGCTCTTCTTACTCCCGAATCGCTGGACGAGCGGAAGCTGCAGGGACGTTTCGGGGTTAAGGCTTGGGGTTGTGGGTTAGGGGCTCAGGGTTTAGGATTGTGGGAGGTGGGTTTGTGGAGGTGAACAAAATCAGGTCCCCCAAAAGGAACTACATTTATAGAGGTCTAGGTAGGGTTTGTGGTCCGGGGGCTCAAGCGGGCGTTCTCACCCGGAATAAGGCTTTGTCTAGGCATCCCTACAAACATTCGAAGATACATCACACTTGACCCTAGGACCCTAAACCCTAGACCCTAAACCCTAAACGCTAAACCCTAAACCCTAAACCCTAACCCCTAACCCCTAACCCCTAAACCCTAAACCCTAAACCCCATGATGTCCGCGTCCTCGTCCTTTCTCCGTGGGCTATGCACGCTTGGGGGAATGAGAGAGATACCACATTCCCTATGTCCCCAATGTATCCTTTAAGGGATTACATATGGTACCTTATTCCCCCATTCCCTACTAACCAACAGTAAGCTCTTGGGCTTGTCATGCCTTGTTGCCAGCGTTTTGCGGATGCAGACTAAGTGAAAGAGCAAACCAAAAACACCATGCTCCCCTTAGAACCCTCAAAAAAACAAGTATTTGAATATTCCTTTGGGGTTTCAACAAATAAACAAAAAACATAGTCTTTAAGGAGGCACCCTAAACCCTAAACCCTAAACCAACCCTAGATCCTAGACCCTAGACCTTAGTCCCTCAACCCGAAACCCTAAACCCGAAAGCCCAACATAAACAGCACAAATGTAATTCCCAAAAAAAGCCATAGAACATGCCCCGTGTCAAAGGCCACGTAGCATCTCGGGGGTGTACTTGCTCGGATCGGTGGCTTGCGAGGAGAAATAGGGCTTCTCCTGGGCACCCGAAACCCTAAACCCTAAACCCTAACCCCTAAGCCCGCTGGCTTGTGAGGAGAAATAGGGCTTTGCCTGGCAGGCCGCCGATCTTGCCTTTGAGGGTTCTTGGTAACCCAGTACCCTTATTATAATTGGACTTTGTTTTTATTCTTATATATATCTATATATGTATTTTTTATTTATTTTATTATTACTATATATATATATATATATATGTTTGTTTTTTTTTTTTTTTTTGGGGGGGGGGGGGGTGGTGGTGACTTTAGAAGGGAACCTAGAACCAAAAGGAGCAAACGGACACCACTGGGCCACCAAGGGTGCAGGGGTTTACAAGTTTAGGGCTCTGGATGCGAAATAGCCTGCGGCTGTAAAAACGAGGAGGCTTCCCCTGCCACAACTATGCTTCCAGCCGTACTTTGAGGTTCAGGGTAACTTATAAGCCCCGCAAGTCCCCGAAGTAGGTTATATGTAGACTTATAATAGGGGTTATAAGTACCCATGAACCTGCATGTAGAACTAGGAATTTCGCCAGTGTTGTGCAAGTTTAAACAATTGAACCACCTGGCGTTGCGAAGTGCCTGCCCTTGCTTTCGCGCCAAAGGAAAAACAGCTGTTCGTCTTGCTTTCGCGCCAAAGGAAAAACAGCTGTTCGTCATGTGCTTGATACCTTGTATGTCAACCCACAATGTGTGCAATTCGTGTAAGTATGTTTGTTGGTTCCCTGCCATAATGTTTCATATCTGTTCTTCAAGCATCGACACATGGTGCAACAATGAATTCCTAAGCCATCTTCCTTGTATCAAGATCAAAGATAGCAATGGCTTAACATACGGGCCTTTACCATGTGACTAGGACTTTCTCCCGGGGGGGGGGGGGATCCGGTAGTATACTACTTAGACATGTATATATATATATATATAAATAAATACCAATATATATATATATATACCCATATATATATATATATGTATATATATATATATATTTCCCGGCCAGAGTTTCCACGCGCCAAGCGTTGGTCAGCACGATGCGGCGCAAGCCAAGCTGTGCCAGCACCGACCAGAGCCTCATCATAACCTGTGCACCAGGGGATGTAGGGTTTTAGGGTTTAGGGTTCAGGAAGTCGGGTCTATAGGGTTTAGGGTTTTATGGTTTAAAGTTTAGGGGAGTTGTAGTCCAAGGGTAGTTACATGGTCCCTCAATATGGCCCCGTACCTCTGCTGAGGGTTCTGAAGTATGAGCCCTTGGGCCGTATAGGGTATATGTAAGGGGTATATAAGGGTTCCCCAATTGAGGACAATGTAACGACCCTTACAGTTGTAGAGTCCTGAAGGAGCTGTGTCATGGGTAGTAGGTACCTAATAAACCTTGGGGAGGCTTAGGGAGCCTTGGGGGTAGCGGGGAGTAGTAGAGAGCATTGGGTTACATACCCCCTTGAGCCCCCCGCCCGCAAGGATCCTATAAGTTTTGTACTAACCAAGTAAAGTCTGCATTTCACGTGTCTTTCGAACTATGAAAGGGACCCCACCGTAGCCAAAAAAAGGAGCGGCTAGCAAAGGCTTTGTGATGGTCTTGCATCTGGGAAGTTCATTCTGGCCCAAAAGGGTGAATGTCACGAAAGTCGGTCCAACTTCATGCTAGCTCTCATGCCCGCGAGCCCCGGCGCCTTTGGACGAGGCATGGCCAAAAGCAACTCCACGTGCGGGTGGGGAGGCAACGCCGACAAGCAAAGCCGGCCAGCTGCGTCGGTGTCATTGCTGGCAGCCGGACTTAGTCGAACTTGCCCATCCTCCAAAATGCACACGCTCGCGCGCCCCACACCGACTCCCACGCAGCCAACGCGGATTGTTGCGCCGGGCTTTGGCTTTAACACAGTTGCAATGTGTCGTGCACGACGGTCCGTGGTGGGCAAGAGGACGGATCCAGTGGCATTTATCTCCTCCACCTCGTCGTAGAGCAGCAGGACTAAGTTCATGGCAACTGTGAGCAAACCATGGTCTATTCCATGTCCGGTACGTCTACTTGACTACTTGAGAGTGCCGAATAAAGAGGCAAAACAGCTAACCAACGCTTCAGTAACACTTTGTGGACGACATATACCGTAGGAATAACTGCAAGGAAGGATTCGCCTAGACTTTCATTGCGCACGGATCTATCGTAGCCCCATGAGATGAAGATTAAGCAATCCGACAGATGATCATGCTGCGCTGTGGGCTCTCTCCGCAAATCCTAACCCTAAACCCTAAACCTTAAACCCTAAACCCCTAACTCCTAGGCACGCCAGTCTTCCCCGGTCTGCGAGAAGCCGAAAACTGCACCAAGCACAACAAGGCTCGACGGAAGAGTCCCGCGCCTAGGCCCCCAATGCTGACTGTCGGTTAGTACAAAGGAGGGCTCATTTAGGGTTTAGGGTTTAGGGTTGAGGGCTTACTTGGAGGTTCATGATACTTACTCGCGAACTATAACTGTACGTATAACCCACTTATAAGCCCCTTAAGTGCCCTAATGTAGTTATAAGTACAGTGATAAGTACAGTTATAATTGGTTAATACGCACCATGAACCTCCAAGAAGGGAATAGGGGAATGAGGTACCCCATATGATCCCTCAAAGGGTACATAAAGGGCCCGGATTCCCTCATTCCCTGCTAACTTTTAACTAACAGTAAGAATGATGGCACTGTATCCTCAAGGTTTTGGGGCCACTTTAGGGCTTCAGGCTTCGTCTTGTTGCTTTGGTTTAAAGAGGGGGGACTGGGTGGGGGAAGGTGAATTACCTGCTTTCATCGAAAAACGATCATGAAACCATGGGCTTTCAGTACCCCGAGACGGAAAAAAAAAAAAAAAAAACGGCTGTTTGTTTCAGAGGTCCCTCTACCGCCTTCGCGGCTTGGAGCCCTGCCAAACCAGCGGGCTTTTGCTGGTCCAGGTACTCAACTTCTAAACCCTGGGTTTAGGGTTTAGGGTTTAGGGCTAGGGTTTAGGGTTCAGGGAGGATCCAGAAAGTAGATCCCTTCAAGGGTGCCTAAGAATGACCCACTAGTCGAATGGGGTACTATTTTGCCCTAAAGCCTAAAGCCTAAAGCCTAAAGCCTAAAGCCTAAAGCCTAAAGCCTAAAGCCTAAAGCCTAAAGCCTAAAGCCTAAACCCTAAACCCTAAATGCATGCCCCCCAAACCCTTACTTCTACTCTGACGTATGCCAAGTCCTTGATGTCCAGGAGAGGCTTGGCCGTGAGAGGTGCCACAGACCCGGCAGGGCAAGCCTTCCACCTGATCGTAGTTGAGGTTCAGGGTTTAGGGTTTAGGGTTTAGGGTTTAGGGTTTAGGGTTTAGGGTTTAGGGTTTAGGCTTTAGGGTTTAGGCTTTAGGGTTCGGACCCTTTCGTTTTCCCATAGTATTGGCCCTTAAATGGGGAACCCCTTCTATACCCCTCATACACCCTATACAACCCAAGGGCCCATACCTCAGAAACCTTTAAAGATCGTAAGGGACCATGTTAAAGGGCCATGTGGGTTTGGGGTTTAGGGTTTAGGGTGGCTATTGAAGTCTGCTGGGCATGCTTCGGGCATTTTCAGACAAACATCTAAGCTGCGCTGCTGCAACTCTAGCGGATTCGTCGGTTCATGGTACTTCTTAAGCCAATAACTGTACTTGTCACCCGAAAATAGCCATGTTCGGGCACTTAACAGGCTTGTAAGTGGGTTAAAAGCAATGACAGGCTTCAACTGGTTTACAAGTATCATTAAACTCCAGGTAGCGCAGCCTGCTGTAGCAAGCTCACGCCAGTCGCCTCTGAGCAAGAAAACCCTCACACCTTGGATCCCCGTTACCTTCCGTCCCCATCCCAAAGAGCCCAATATCCCTGTATTAAGGAGTATATACTTAAATCATGTTAAGGATCGCAATTATAAATTAAGGTCTATTCCTGAATAAAGAGGTGTTTTTCTTTTTGGGCAAGCTTCCCGAGTAGGGCTTGCCAGGATTTTCACCCAACAAGTCCGGAAATATCTATCTGATGGGGTCTAGGGAGCCACAGTCCGGACATGCAACCCAGGGGCAATCCCACACGAGTGGTTCGAGCATCAGTCTCCTGGTGATAGATCAGAGAGCACGAGACTCAGAACTTTTGGTTCGAGATTTGCAGCCAAGATTTGCGCATCACGCTCTGCAAAACGGTGCCTGCCTGGTGCCATTCCGGATGGCGGCCCTGAAAGTGTTGCTTCGTTACTTGCTCAGTAGCCTCGAGAACTAAAGGTTAACCTTCGCGAATATGTAGGGATCGTAATACCCCATGTCTTGCCGCCTGGGCCTGACTGCGGACAGTCCATAAACCCCGAACCCCAAACCCTAAACCCTAAACCCCAAACCCTACTCCGGTACATGTTTGGGCGTCAAGCGGGGGACTGCAATGGTAAGCCGCGGCTTGTTACCCCGACCAGCAACCTTGAACTGGCTGGTTCTTTGTAGGGAATGAGGCAATGAGGTACCCTAGCCCTATATAATCCCTGAAAGGATATATGTAGCGCCCTAGTTCCCTCGTTCCCTACTTTAAACCCTAAATCCTAAACCCTGGTTCAACCTGAAGTTAAACCTTACAATTGGAGGTAGAAGTACCCATGAACCTCCAAGTTGTACTTCAACCCTGAGGTTGCTTCCTCTTTCCCACACAAAGCCTAAAGCCCAAAGCCCAAAGCCTACCCAAAGGCTCCAATGTAGTTCCTTTTTGGGGTAGTTATAGGGGATTCTCGTATGCTACCCCAAAAAAGGTACTACACAGGAGCCTCTGGGTAAAGCCTAAACCCTGCCAGAATGTAATCAAGTTCCGCCTGTTGTCATGGACGGGCCCACCTTCGGGCCGCTCTACTTCTGGAGCCTTCTCCGGGTCTGCATCACTTCGACATCGCTAACCCTCTGGTTGCAAATGGCAAAACACTAACCCTAAACCCTAAACCCTAAACCCTATAGGGAGGCCACTGGCGCTCTTTCTCCATTGGTACGGGACTAAGAACATGCGTCGGAAGGGGTACAGGAAGGAACTGCAGGCAAAAGGGATCGGAAGGATTGAGACCTTCCCCCTTATACTAGCAGTTCTTAATCGGTAATATACTAGGGCGGGGTACTATTCTCAAGGGAGACACACCAAAGTCTCGATGTTACTCCGAAAGAATTGAGGGAATGCTGGAAAGGCCAAAAGAACATGAGCGCACCCTTAAGGCCGAATGAGCTCAAGGGGGTGTGGGGGATGTCCCCAAACCCTAAACCCAAAAACGAAAACGTCAGGGGGCTGGGTGCGGGGGCCGGGGGGTGGGTGGGGGGGGGGTCGGTGCGTGCTGTGGGGTGCTGGATGTCTGAGCGGGGAAGTACCCAAGGAGCCCAACACCCCCTTAATGAGGAAACTACCTCAATTTACGTAGGGATCCTGAATAATATGATGGTGTCTTCCTTCTTGTAAGGGGTATGGGCTCTTTGGGCAACGCTGTTGGCATTCTTTCTTCGTGGGGCACACCAACCCAACCCGAAAAGACCGTGCGAAGCCCAGAAAATCAACCTGGCAACTTGTCACGAAGAAGCTGCCAGTCCAGCTTCGTGAACAGGTCATCATAGCGCACGTTTGGCAAAACTCGCAAGCGCCTGTCTCACTGTAATTGGGAGGAGGGGGGGGGGAAGTATGCTTCTTCTTCTTCTTTTGTGTGTGTGTGTGTGTGTTCGCGTTTTGTTCGTGGTTTTGGTCCTAAATCTTTTCTAGCAATGATGCAGTCCTCCCGGCTGGGAGGAGCTTTCAAGCACCAGCGCATTCCAGCTTTTGTTAGTTTTTGTGGCCACCCGCCTGGCTGACACTCAGGCCACGTTGCAGGGACTCATTCCGGAAAGCACTGGCTATAGGGTTTAGGGTTTAGGGCTTTTGAAGTTTCAGGAATTTCAGGGTTTGCTGTGATATGGCTCAAAAGATGAGGTTTAGGGTCCTTTCAGGCGTTAAGGTGTAGAGTTTCAGGGGTAGGCAGCGACCCTGCGTGCTGTAAACTGTTGCGGCTCAGACCCATGAACCCCCAATCGCACCTTGCAGCACCCGTCTTCACCAACTCGCTGTTGATGAAAAGGTCATCTGCACTCCTCATGGGAGGACAATGCGAAGATAGGCCGACGACATGCCAAAGCCCGCACTAGGCCTGAAGATGTGCCGGATGCATCAGATACTTTGACCCTAGCCTCGAACAAGATTCGGGGACGTAAGAATGCAACTTTGACCCGATGTCTGCTTCTCTCTCTCTCTCTCTCTCTTTTGAGCCCGAGCACTCGCTGCCTGCACCGAAGCTAATATGACCCCAATGTTCCGAACGAAATGCCGGACAGCCGCATCATGGACTCGAGAGGATCGAAATTTCAGGTCCACTCACCATCATATCTTATATTAATACATTTGGGTAAGTGATGTTAGTTAAGGGCTACATGCCACGGATATCGTGGTATTTCGCCGAAGCCTGTAGACATAGACGAGTTGTCGGCCATACTTGTCGGTGGGCTCCACGTCGAACTCGATGCGCACTTTGCTGCCCGGGGGCAACCTTGGCTACTTGAAGGTTCATGGTACTTACTAACAAATTATAACTGTACTTACGACCCTACTTAGAATACCCCTAAAGGGCCTTATAGGGGTTATCCCAATTGTAAGTAGGGGTATAAGCCCAGTTATAATTGGTTAGTAAGTACCATGAACCTTCAAGTAGCTTGGGGTTTGGGGTTTGGGGGGGGCCCAAAGAGCCAAATGCCCCTGAATTAAGGCATATTTACCTGAATTTCTACGGGGATTCTTTAAAATGATCTAAAGTAGATGTCTCATCAAAGGGGTAATGGGCTCTTTTGGGGGTTTAGGGCCTCAGAGCTGTTTTGCACGATTCGCAGCACACGACTTTAAAGCTACGCACGTGCCCTTCTCATGGCCCAGGTGCCGTGACAAAACAGGGGTGTCGCTCTGAGTGATTCTGACCCAAGTAGTCGGTGTAGAGTTCAGTTTAGGGGTTAAAGGGTTTAAACGGTTTAAACGGTTGAAAGGGTTTAAAGGGTTTATAGGGTTTAAAGGGTTGAAAGGGTTTAAAGGGTTTAAATGGTTTAGGGTTGGGGCTTAGGGTTTAGGGTTTAGGGTTAGGGCAAAACGATATGTAAAGATGGCTTCATGAGGGATTTCTCAGAAACTTCTAGAAAAGAAGCACAATAGGATTCCCTTACCACCCCAAGAAGGTACCTCTAATATCGTAAACCCCCATACGTACCGCGAACCCATCCGAAACTGGTTCTCCTACACTCTGGTGAAACTCCTCTCCGAACCTTACCTGCTTGAAGGCTCATGGGCAACAATGACTGCGATTACATAGCTGCACTCCTAAACCCTAAACCCTAAACCCTAAACCCCAAACCCCAAACCCTAAACCCCAAGCCCTCAACCCTAGACCCTTAAACCCTTAAGGCGACTCATGACCCGTAGAGTAGCTCACATGTCTGCGTCGCCCCAAGACCAAACGCAAGCGAAGCCACAGACCCTTCGTAAGGGCAGACGCCTCGGGCCCGTAGCAGTCTGGGGGTGCGCCTTCCTTCTGCCTGCTAGACTGTCAGGGTTCAGTTGGCTCTTTTTTGGGGTGGTGGTTTAGGGTTTAGGGTTTGGGGTTTAGGGTTTAGGGTTTGGGGTTGAGGGTTTAGGGTTGAGGGTTTAGGGTGTAGGCCTGAGGCTTCCAAACGCCAGAATTAGAACTTTGACTCCAGCATCTAGGCCTGCGTTTCGCGGATAGGCAACCAGTCCAGGACAAGGGTGACGCAGGAACAACTAGGAGGCTCTAGCATTTTCAGGTTCACCTAGTGTAGCATCAAGGAATGAGAGTAGTAGACCACTCTCGTACGTTAAGCTCATGGATCTCCAAAGACTCCAGTGATACTCCAACGCCCCTACTCAGCGAGGAATGTGCCTGAAGTGTGAAAGGGTCCTTAATGCGATTCAAGGATGAGTCCTTAGACGAAGACGCCTGGCTCAAACTACTGTAGGCCAAGTCCTAAAGTCACAGTGCAGTGTGCACGGGGAGTTCGCCGCAGCCACAGCCCACAATACCAGAAGCTCCGGCTGTTTTTGTTGTAAAGGTGTGGCTCGGACGTTTTGTTTTTTTTTTTTTTTTTAAGGTGTGGCTCAGCTTGGCTTCGCAAATGCTGTAAATAGCAGCATTTCTGCGTTTAGAGAGGCTGCAAATACTGTAAATAGCAGCATTTCTGCGTTGTCAGAGGCTGCAAATACTGTAAATAGCAGCATTTCTGCGTTGTCAGAAGCTTCCAAGACTGTAAATTGCAGCATTTCTGTATTGTCAGCGGCTTCCAATACTGCAAATAGCAGCATTTCTACGTAGTCAGAGGCTTTCAAGTACTGTAAATAGCAGAATTTCTGCGTTGCGTTGGCTGCAAATACTGTACGTAGCAGTATTTCTGACATAAAATGTATATAGCAGCATTTCTGGTTTCTCAGACGCTGCAGCGAAGGGCATTCAATAGCAGCATTTCTGTGTTTTCAGAGGCTTCAGATCCTGTAAATGACAGCATTTCTGCGTTGTCAGACACTGCAAATACTGTAAATAGCAGCATTTCTATGTTTTCAAAGGCTGGATATAAATCATGTGCTCTTATATAAACAGATATAAATATATATACAGTTATTCATTTATTTATATTTAGTATTATGTAAATTGTATATGATAATATGCTATTCAGTATTATATATATATATATATATATATATATAATACAGTATCTATCTATCGATCTATCTATCTATGTATATGCATAGGTATATGTATATGTGTATATGTGTATATATGTATATGTATATATATATATATATATGAATATATGAATATATGTATATATGTATATATGTATATATGTATATATGTATATATGTATATATGTATATATGTATATATGTATATATGTATATGTATATATATATATATGTATCTATGTATCTATGTATCTATGTATATATGCATATATGTATATATGTATATATGTATTTCTGTATACATGTATATATGTATATATGTTTATTAAATTATCGATATACATGCATATACATGATTGGCTTAAAAAGGCTGGGGGGGGGTTGGGGGTGGGCGGGGGAACAGTCCCCCCTTTGCAAACACCGTGCTCGCATGATGGGTTTCAACAAGACTCATTATGCTGGGGTAAACTCAATGCTTGCATGTAGGTTTCAAGATTCATACGCTTTGAAGCAAGCTTGCACGGCTGAAAGAAAGCGGGGGGGTTTTCAGCAAGCTTGCACGGCTTAAAAGACCGGGGGGGGGTTGGGGGGGGCGCAGCCACCCCCATTTGCAAACTCAATGCTTGCATGATGGGTTTCAAGATTCATATGCTTTGAAGCAAGCTTGCACGGCTTAAAAAAGCGGGGGGGTTGGGGGGGGCGCAGCCCCCCCGCATTTGCAAACTCAATGCTTGCATGTAGGTTTCAAGATTCATATGCTTTGAAGCAAGCTTCAAAAAAGCGGGGGGTTGGGGGGGCGCAGCCCCCCCCCCCATTTGCAAACTCAATGCTTGCATGATGGGTTTCAAAAAGATTCATATCCCCAGAAGCTCCTGAACTCCTAAAACAGGGAATAGGCCCTAAACCCTAAACCCTAAACCCTAAACCCTAAACCCTAAACCCTAAACCCTAAATCGCTTAGGGTTTCCTGAAGCTCCCTGGTGAGGCCCTGGTGTGTGGGGTCGCCGTGTGGGTCGCTGCCTTAAGGGTATAAGGAGGGACCCCTAGAAGAGACCCTTAATCTTCTTCCCCTACACATGCCTTCTATCGTCCCTAGGGTTTAGGGTTTGGGGTACAGACCTAAGTAGCCCCTACATTACCCCCAAGTAACCCCTAAGGTCCCAACCCTAAACCCTAAACCCTAAACCCTAAACCCTAAACCCTAAACCCTAAACCCTATATAAGGGTTCCCTCCTTTAGTTCCGTGCCTGCCCCACACAAGTTCTCAGGTGTGCCTCGGGGCGACCGTCTCAGGCGTGTTGACGCCAATGAGTCGGCAGCGGCCGGCTTTCTTTAGCTTCACCTGTTTAGGGTTTAGGGTTTAGGGTTTAGGGTTTAGGGTTTAGGGTTACTTAGTAGGGACTCAAGGAGTTTAGGGCGCACCAACCCCAAGTGCAAGAAGCTTGACAGGCGCAGAGTTAATCTCTCAGAAGACTTGCGATCCCTTCTCCCTAAACCCCAAACCCCAAACCCTGAACCCTAAACCCTAAACCGTTATGTTCGTGCATTCTTCCATGGCACGTCCCTCAGTTGAGGCGAGGCGCCGTGTCGCCATCAATAACGTTCACCACCTCGTCTTCCTGCTTTGCTAGGTAGCCAGGCAAACATATGGCCATATGATACGAGTGCCATATTCGGACTTGGTTCTGGGTTCATGAGGGTTTAGGGTTTAGGGTTTAGGGTTTAGGGTTTAGGGTTTAGGGTTTAGGGTTTAGGGTTTAGGGTTTAGTGCGGTGTAGAGTCCCCTGCGGTGTAGCAGGGAACACAGAAACCAAAAGCCTAAGAGGGAGACCACTGGGGCTTCTCTGGCCGGAAATGATGTGGCAGTTGGCCCGGCCGTGCTGCTGCCCACTACCGCAGGAGTCTAGACACACAAGGTGCCACAATAGGAAGGCGGACCTCACTAAGTAACCCTAAACCCTAAACCCTAAACCCTAAACCCTAAACCCTAAACCCTACAACCAGCCTCCTGCAGTTCAAGGCCCAAGGCACGACGACCGTCATTTCAGCGTCCCCTGCACGACGACCTTACCCACAACTACCAGGTGCCCCACGCACGAGGCCCGCAAACGGATAAGCATCTTAATGAACCCACAGACCCTAATACCCCTTCATTAAGGAGCATTCCTTAAGCTTCTTAAACGAAAGTAGGGACCCCTTGATAATGAATGTAAGGTATATTCAATCAATTACAGGTATTGGGTATCTGGGAAGAATCGAGGAGTTGCAAACCAACCTCGCACCACCCCCTAAACCCTAAACCCTAAAACCTAAACCCTAAACCCTAAACCCTAAACCCTAAACCCTAAACCCTAAACCCTAAACCCAGTCCGCGGCCGATGCCGCGGCCGCGCGGCGCGCCCGCACCAGTGTGGTGCTCAGCGCTGCCACCTGAGCTGCAGGTGGTTGGGTCGGCACTGGGAAGGATAGGGCACTTGCGTGTGGAGATGCTTAGAGCTTCTGCCCTAAACCCTAAACCCTAAACCCTAAACCCTAAACCCTAAACCCTAAACCCTAAACCCTAAACCCTAAACCCTAAATTCTGGGTCTGGGCCAGAAGCTGGTCAACCACCTTAATTCGAGATGAAAGACGGCCCAAAACCCTTGTGCGCGAAAAAGCTTGTGCGATCCATATGGGGGTTTCCGAAAAACAGGGGGGGGGGGGCCCTTTATCGGTTCTGTAGTACGGATTAGAATGTTTGGTGGCCGATGGGGGTACATTAAGGGCACCCCTATGGTGGAAATACCCGTATTTACACACTGTTTCAGACATGCTGTTACAGACGCTCGACGTAGTGTCTTAGTGCGTTTTGTAAGCGACCTTTCTTAGGAACCCTACTGGCTTTGGGGTTTAGGGTTTAGGGTTCTACTCCTACGTCTTGGCAGGCAATTGCTTAGGATTCTCATAGGTAACCTGTAAAAAGTAGGTTTTGTGTTCTTAAACCTCTGATATCATGTAGAGGCAAGTGAAGCCCAGGCCCCTATGTACCTCGGCCACACACCCCGCTACGAGTATTCCTAAGTCGTCGCAGGCATACAACTTTTCAATCTTCGTCCTTCCAGGATGGGCTATTACACCCTAAAATCCCTTAAAAGGCCCTTTATAGGGTTCATTATGAGGACTTTAAGGCCTACAAGCCCATCCTGGTTCTCCCTCTCAACTCAACGGGCGGGGCCGCACGCAGGTGGCGCTGCGGCAAACCCAGGCCCGAAAGGGTTTTGGGCCCTTGCGTGGGTGCTTTGTAGGGCTTTTCCTGTTGGGGAAGGACAAGCACATCCGTTAGACAGGTACCCAAAGAGCCCCAAAACCTCCTGAACAAGGATTTTTTTTACAAAACATCATATTCAGAATCCCTGTAAGCATTAAGGTATATTCCCATAAGCCACAAAACCCCACACCCTGTATAGATGAAGGTGCATTCCTCCAATAAGGAAAATGAATTTAATCATAATAGGGCTCCCTGTGTAAATTCGGGTTGGAGAGTCGGTGCGTGAACCATAAACCCTAAACCCTAAACCCCAAACCTAAACCCTGACACCCAGGGTTTAGGGTTTAGGAATATAGGGTTGAGGGTTTCGGAATTGATGGTTGAGGGTTGAAGGGTTTCGGGTTTACAGCAAAAGCCATACCATGGAACATGTTTCGCAACTATTGGGTACATCGACCCCTTGTTTGTGGGTTCGGGTTGGGGTTTATCGAAGAGTAGTTGCATGGTCCCTTAATATGGGCCCTTCATTGGGGGAACGCTTATATACCGCAAACCCTAAACCCCAAACCGGACCATGTAACTACCCGTAGAGTCTAGGCACTCGCGACCGACACCTGCGAGCAATGAGGCTTAGGATGGGGGTGGGCTTCGTTAGGGTTTCGGGTCCAGGGTTTGGGCTTTTGAGGTGTGCACTGCTGAATGACTTCTTAAGGATCCATGTACCTATGCAGTATCTATTTGGGCCTTGAAGGGGTTTG